CTTCACGAATCTATACCTATGAAAAAAGTGTTGTCTTGTTTATTCGTGAAAGGATGCGAGATCCTAGGGAAGTAGCCTCGTCAAACGAGGCTACCTCGGTGAGTGTTTCGGGATAGTCATAATGGGTGGAGGTTGGTCTCCATGCCCGCCCCTTGAAACCAACTTCAACCTCGCTAAATTCCAGACTCCATCCTCACTAAGATTCACCCAAAATATGATTTTCTATGTATTGATTAAATGTTAGTTTATTGGTGATAATGTGTAAGATGAGGATTGTGTGTATTGAAGATGGTTATATGTAGTGAAGACGTGGCTTCTGACACCAGAGTAATGTCGGTACCCTTGCTAGTAAAACTGAAATATAATTACTGTCAAATGAAACTATATTTTTTTGTATAAAAAGTCAATGGATTCGCGCAGACATTTGCGAAAATGAGGATTGTAATTCTGGATTCCATTCCTGAAACTTTTCACTGAACATTCTGGCCATGGCAACCCTGAAATTATTTTCCTTGACATGCCTGTATATCATTGTTTGTAGTGTTGAACTTTTAAGTCTAACTATAGGCGTAGACTTAGTGGTGAAGCTTGTGTTGCGTGCACAGTTCTCTCACAGTGGTGAAGCTTGTGTTGCGTGCACAGTTCTCTCAGAGTGGTGAAGCTTGTGTTGCGTGCACAGTTCTCACACAGTGGTGAAGCTTGTGTTGCGTGCACAGTTCTCATAGTGTTGAAGCTTGTGTTGCGTGCACAGTTCTCATAGTGTTGAAGCTTATTTACATGTATTCATTGTTATAATATTAACCAATGTAGAAGAGATTGTATTAAGAGTTAAGACGACACGGTAATTCTCTTAATAAGTAATTACTACCGTGTAGTTGCTAAGGCCCCGCCCATTGACAACACTTCACAAGTTATTGGGTGCATAAACACATCTTTATGAACAAATCCACAAGGGCCGTGACGAGGATTCGAACCTGCGTCCGGGAGCATCCCAGACGCCCAGTAAACCTTTAATAACATTTACCACTGGTGAGTGAACCTCGGGCAGGCGAGAGGATGTTCCAGAAGATTATCACCAAACTGGGGCCGCGCTGGGTAAGGTTGGCTGGTCCTGTCCTACACCTGGTGGTGGTGGTGGTGGTGTAGGTGGTGGTGTAGGTGGTGGTGGTGGTGGTGGTGTACACGTGCCGCGGAGTCCGCTACACACGTCACGGAAAGAGTCCCGGGTTCGTTTTCGACGCCGTGCAATCTAAAATTCCGGGTTCGAATCCCGGACGGGACAGAAATGGTTGGGTACATTTCTGTTCATCTAATGCCTCTGTTCACCTAGCAGTGAACAGGTACTCGGGAGTTAGTCAGCTTGTGGGGTTGCATCCGGGGCGGTGTCAGTAATTCGGCCCTACTTGATATAAGTCTACTTTGTATAAATATACTCTGGCTTCCTGTCCCGTGACAATTATTATTATTAAATTATTATAAATGTAGTTTCCCTTTGCCGACTGGCCTTCCCCTACAGTGCAACCCCCACAACAGCTGCTTAACTCCCGGGTACCTATATATTGCTAGGTGAACAGAGGCATCAGTTGCAGGGAAACATTTCCAGATGTCTCGCCCTGTTATGTGAATCGAATTCGGAGTCAATGGCTTGTGAGGCGACTGCGCTAATTACTGTGTACTTCTTTGATGGTGTGACCGGAGGGTGAGGAATCCGTGGCGTGGGTGTGGTGTGGGTGTTGTGTGGGTGTAGTGTGGGTGTGGCCAGGGTTCTAGACGGGCCTCGCTGATCAATCCCGACACTGCAATGCGCACACCATTCTACACCACCACCACCTTCACTCTACACCACTACCTTCACTCTACACCACCACCACCTTCACTACCTTCACTCTACACCATTCCTCACTCTACACCACCACCTTCACTCTACACCACTCCTCACTCTACACCACTCCTCTACACCACCACCCCCCCTCTCACTCTACACCACCACCCCCCCTCTCATTCTACTGCACCACCCCTCTCACTCTACACCCCCCTCTACATCACCCCTCAGTCAACGCCATCTGCCTTTCACTCTACACTGGGTACTGGGGGTACCTGAAGGACAGAAAACAGTGTGTCACAGTGAGAGAGTTTAGAGTTATGGGACCATATCGTTGTCCCTCAAGGCTCCGTCCTGGGACACCTGCTGTTTCTAATTTATGGTACTGACCTTCCCGAGGGAGTGAGCTCCCACTCTCTCTAATAAACACTAACACTACCATTGCTAGTACATGAACAAGAGAACAAAGGTGGAGGACAGTTTCCAAAGTGAGTCACCTATTAGGAATATTCCTAGTATTGAATCACAATAAGGGAAAACAGTGGAATGCAAAATGGATTAAGGTTGTGGAGGCTCTCTCCGCCATTTCAAGTGTAGATTTGACAAAACCCAACAGAAGGTTGAGAGCCAGGACCCAAGAATTGGAGCTCACCCTAAACTATCACAACTAGGGTGATACACCTACACAAAAAGAGAGTTGGAGCAACAGGTGTTGAAACACTTGTGGGGATGGTTTGCCAAACAATACAGTTGGACAAACACACCTGTTTTGTCGGCTCTTACCCCGGCCCATTCTCTTGTTTTGCCACTCCGTAAAAGTCCGACCTACTATCCTAACCTAGGGGCCGGATACATCAGGCAGTCATGCAAGTACTTACGAACTGTACATCGTCTCTGTCTTTGGCGGCTTTGTTTACATTTGTTAAACAGTTATTAGCTCCGAAACACTACGTGTTTTTTTTTAACTATTTGATTATAAAGTTTCCATGCTCGTAAAGTGTTTAATAAATGTAAACAAAACTCACAAGTCTCACAAAGCATCTCAAAGTCGAGCCTGATGAGAGAAGATGTACAGATTCAGAAATACTTGCGTTGAAATGTTGTCCGGGAACGTACGAATTAACCCAAGCATCCCACGTAACCTATAGTCTGATGCGTATAAAAAGTGAATATTTGTGCTTAGTTTAGTTCATTTATTATGCACCCCATACCCATCCTCTGGGCGGTAGTGGAAGGGGTTACAGAGGTTACATAATGGGCTCAGGGACTGAACCCTACAATTCATTTTATACAAAATAATTCAATTCAAATACAAAATTCAATACACATCGTCACATCAACAATAGGCTGGAGATCGGCCACAAGTACAGTTTCTAAGTTAAGCAACTGACATAAGTGGAGAGCTAGTGTCACAATTGATATGTTTATCCTGCACATTACTCCCCCCCCCCTCCCCCGTCCCCAATCTGTAGTGGAAAGGTTACAACCACTCAGTTACTATCATCCAATAAAATCCGAATATTTGCGAGTCATTACTTAATACGTTGTATTTAGAGCGTTGGTTACGATAACGCAAAAGGCGCGCGCTGTTTGTCAGTGAAGGGGTTAGACTGTCCCAGCAACAACGTCCTGGTGCGGGGCGGAAAACTGCGGTCGTGTCAGTCTTGTACCAAATAATGGTGCTGTTGATCACGGGTACTTGGAGTGGAAGCTCTACTGCTGCTGCATTTATAGAGCGTCGCTGCTCTATCTTGTGATGATTTCGCGGCTTATCGTCCCGCGGCCCGGTCCTTGACTAGGCCTCCTTTTTGTTACACCCCCCCCCCCCACCCTTCCCAGGAAGCAGCCTGTAGCAGCTGTCTAACTCCCAGGTACCTATTTACTGCTAGGTAACAGGGGCGTCAGGGTGAAAGAAACATTTTGCCCACTTGTTTCCGCCTCCACCGGGGATCGAACCTGGAGTCGGATCTCTAACCCAGAGTCGGAGCTTCATATGGGGGTTTAAAACACACACAGGCTTTAACTATCTCTGAGCTACATAGTCTTGGCGGCTTGGTGACTTTTGATAATTACTTACTCTAACGATCTCTAAATCACCGTCGGCGTCAGAGATATACCAGCCGTAATCTTATTTTTGTTAATTCATTAAAGTATATAAATGTTTATACCAGTCTCGTTACATATTAAAATATTGTTGAGAATATTTGGTGAGTGGTTGAGGAAACATGCCGGTGGTGGGCGAGTATGACTCACAAAGATGGGTGAGTATGACTCACAAAGTTGGGCGAGTATGACTCACAAAGATGGGCGAGTATGACTCGCAAAGATGGGTGAGTATGACTCGCAAAGATGGGTGAGTATGACTCACAAAGATGGGCGAGTGTGACTCACAAAGATGGGCGAGTATAACTCACAAAGATGGGTGAGTATGACTCACAAAGATGGGTGAGTATGACTCACAAAGTTGGGTGAGTATGACTCACAAAGATGGGTGAGTATGACTCACAAAGATGGGTGAGTATGACTCACAAAGATGGGTGAGTATGACTCACAAAGATGGGTGAGTATGACTCACAAAGATGGGTGAGTATGACTCACAAAGATGGGTGAGTATGACTCACAAAGATGGGCGAGTATGACTCACAAAGATGGGTGAGTATGACTCACAAAGATGGGTGAGTATGACTCACAAAGATGGGTGAGTATGACTCACAAAGATGGGCGAGTGTGACTCACAAAGATGGGCGAGTATGACTCACAAAGATGGGTGAGTATGACTCACAAAGATGGGCGAGTGTGACTCACAAAGATGGGCGAGTGTGACTCACAAAGATGGGCGAGTATAACTCACAAAGATGGGTGAGTATGACTCACAAAGATGGGTGAGTATGACTCACAAAGATGGGTGAGTATGACTCACAAAGATGGGTGAGTATGACTCACAAAGATGGGCGAGTATGACTCACAAAGATGGGTGAGTATGACTCACAAAGATGGGTGAGTATGACTCACAAAGATGGGTGAGTATGACTCACAAAGATGGGTGAGTAGTGTTATGATGGCCTGCTGCTGTATTATGGTAACAATGTATGTGAACTTTATGATAATGTTATTAACATTGCTTTAATGTGTGTGATCTTGAGATTACTGGTAACTGATGAACTGTTCTTCTCAGCAGTGACGTTGGCGAGCCGTTACCATGCTGCTGGTCACTGCTCGGGGCGTCACCGTTCACTGCACGCCGCATGTGATGTGAGCCGACATCACCACCACCACCACCTCACCATCTTGTAGTGCTCGGCACACTCCTTCACCGTCACTATAACCTGGTTCCTTCGGGTGGAGGCCGGGAAGGTGTAATGTGTGTGTAGCAGCTCCAGCAGCAGCAGCAGCAGCTGCGACACCTTCAGGGCAGGCTGAGCAGTGCCAGCGTGTCACCAGCTTCACCACATAGTGTCACACTCACTGTACCCTCACTGTATCAAGATGGCGGCTCACCAGATGGTTGCAACTCTCATCTTCCGGCTCATGCTACCGCTTGTTCTTGGCATATGTAAGTACCACCTGTGTGTGTTTATATATATATATATATATATATATATATATATATATATATATATATATATATATAATATGACACAGAAAATCACCTGTGCGCCAGGGAATATAATTAAAGTGTTTTACTGGATAGATTCTTACAGTAAGTGTTCTCTGCACGTTCTCTGGGTCAGCAACTTCCAGATGTTTTGTACTCATATAGTTGTTCTTGCGGGGGTTGAGCTCTGGCTCTTTGGTCCCGCCTCTCAACTGTCAATCAACTCATGTACAGTTTCCTAAGCCTACTGGGCTCTATCATATCTACATTTGAAACTGTGTATGGAGTCAGCCTGAACCACATCACTTGCCAATGCATTCCATTTGTTTACTCTCACATTAAAAAAGTTCTTTCTAATATTTATGTGGCTCATTTGGGCACTCAATTTCCACCTGTGTCCCCTAGTGCGTGTGCCCCTTGTGTTAAATAGCCTGTCTACCCTATCAATTTCTTTGAGAATCTTGTATGTGGTGATCATGTTCCCCCTAACTCTTCTGTCTCTTAGCAACGTGAGGTTTAATTCCCGTAGTCTCTCCTCGTAGCTCATACCCCTCAGTTCGGGTACTAGTCTGGTGGCAACCCTTTGAACCTTTTCCAGTTTAGTCTTATGCTTGACTAGATATGGACTCCATGCTGGGGCCGCATACTCCAGGATCTGTGGGTCAGTTAATGTGGGGCAACATTCCCGGTATCTTATAAAAGTATTATTATTGGTCTGGTATCTCATGCTTGAAAGGCGTTGCAACCTGTCCTTTTAAAAATAATGTTGCGTTTGGCCGTATGGCCGAAAGTGGACGTAATTTGAAAATGAAAATAATTGAATGTTAATTGAATGTTTCCTCTCCTAACCTGTCCGAGTAGGCCGGACGACTCAAACAGAAAACGGGACAGTACGTCACTTTTGTGAGTCGATTTCATTTCAAATTACGTTCAATTTTGGCCATAGCGCGCATACGAGCGAAAAGCGACGTTATTTTTAAGAGGACGGGTTGTCACGTCATCCAGCCTGCCATTATTGTTGCACATGTGACTACCGTTTTATTGTGCATTGTAAAAGTAAGGTCTTCCGCCATGATTACTCGCAGGTCACTACATTGGTCTCTCGTTCACACGGATGGTTACAAGAGGATGGTCAAACAGGGATCGTTGTATAAGGAAGATCAATATTGCAAATTCAAGTCTTTGCAGTATAGCATAACAATTCCCATCACAACTCTCGCGTCAATAACACTACCATGCAGAAGATGATGATGAAAATGACCTGGGAGTTAGGATGCACCAGCCATGGAAAGTTGCACAAGTAGGAGCTGCAATAAAATAAGGTCCAACCAATGTCTAGAAAGAGTCAAACGAACCTGTAATTTCAAGAAACTAAAGTGGATATTCGACTGTACAAGTCTCTGGTGCGCTCCCACCTGGACTACTATAGCCAAACTTGGAGACCTCGTATTCAAAAGGATATATATTCTTCGGAGAAAGCTTAACACAGAGCGACTAAAAGTATTCCAGAACTAAGTCAGCTTTCAAATCAGGAACGGTCGAGGGCAGCAGGACTAACATTGCTACAAACCAGACAAGACAAGGCTGATCTTGAGACATGTAAAGTACTGAATGGGTTGGAAGTTATTAATCGGAACCACTTCTTTAAAAGGTCAAATGTAACACAAGGGATAACAGTTTTAAGCTCAACAACCCACAATGTAGGACAAAAACAGTTTTTTCACATATAGGGGTTAAAAATCCATGGAACCACCTATCTTCCGAAGCTGTCAGTGCCAGACATTTCTTCAGTTCAAAATCCAGTTGGAAAAAAAATACTCAGGATCAATGGGTGGGGGACCTTTGACAAGCTGTCGGCTTCCCGTCCCCGTCTGGTAAATTCAAGAAACACAACAAAAGAATGATCCATCAGAAGAGCCGAGTAAAATAGTACGGCGAGGATGGGGCAACAGATTCCAACAGGCGGGAAGTCCTACACACACCCGCCTTCAAGGACATTAATCAATAGTTGCTGAAAGCCACACTTACGTGAGGTAATACTTTTGTACTCAAAACAAAAATACCATTGAAAACGGATTATATTACAGATATGTGAAGTGTTACCTGACCAGCTACACGCCCTCCTGTTTGTTTAGGAGGGAGTCCAGTTTGCGTCAAGGGTCAGGGAGTCCTGGAACAAATAGCTTGCTGTTTTCTCGGAAAATGTGTGCGAGGATGGTGGAGTGGGGGGGGGGATGGGAGGGGGGGGGGCAATTTGTGGGATGGACGGATAATATGTGGGATGGGGTTAAGGAGACGGAGGCCCTGTTATGTAGATTAATGACGGCTGTTAAGTGCCGCGCCCTCCCTCCCCTGATAACAAGACTTCCACCACACCCATCCTCTGTCCCTCCTTGTGAGACATCCTGTAGCCTGCCTTGGGAGACACCATACATACACTGGTGCTGATACTGTACACATAATTACCAATGCCATACGGAAGGAATCTTAAATACTGCCTACAGTAATTTTCTAGGTGGATAAACAAGAAGATTGTTGTAATCTTTGCCAGAAGAATGATTATATTCTTGTTCATAATTGGCCAATTTGACCCGTGCTGGTGTGTTCCTCGAGCGTTCTCACACTCCACACCTCCCATTGTCTTTGTTTTAACTAAGGCTAGGGGGTTCATTTGAATGTCATTGATGTTCAGAGTGAAACTGCAAGCAAGAGCTGTTAGCCTACATCTGGTCATGTGAAGCGTGCCTCTCCTAGAGACTCATTTCTTTGAGATTACTGTATCCATTAGGAATAAACTAAGATGAATGCTAAGTAACTATCAAGCACGGAACAGGATGAACGGTCGAGGGTAGCAGGACTAACACTGCTACAAACCAGACAGGGCAAGGCTGATCTCCTTGAGACATTTAAAGTTTTAGACCGTTCATGTGGTACATTGACCTGATTTTATCCATATCAACATATTCAGTGAACAAGTTCCAGAGGCGAGTCAGCCTTCGAGTGAATGATGGCTGATGGGGTGATGCTCTAGAGATAGGAATAGTGAGATGGCTGAGAGCCTTGTGTCATGGGTGCCAGCTTCTGATTGTCCACGAGGTTAGGCCAGTTGAGAAACAGAATATTGGCCTTGTACATGACAGTGAGCCCACCTACATCTTGCTGGTGTTGAAGGCTCATGTTCTGACCCAACCTGCCCTCCTAATAGACTGTAGAATTCTGACGTACACTCTACCTAAGGGTAAAAATTGTCGTACTAGAAAATGGTAGCGGTTCGCGAAATTGACATACTGCCCAGTTTTCTGTTTTGGGTCCTCTGGTAGGTCAAGATAGAGATTGATTTATGAAGATTAAGCCACGCAAGTGGTGGCACGGGCATGAATAGCCCGGGAGTGGTAGATTTTTTTTTGGAGTGAACGTGATCTTTGATCGTGAATAGGATAGAGGATTTTAGTACGACAGTTTCGTAACGTTGGGAAACCTTAGGAGGACAGGCTGTCTGACCTCGTCTGACATTCTTGTCCCCCCCCCCCCCCCCAACAAGAATGGGTCAAGATTAGAGGAATTGTGGGGAGTCGGGCTTTCCCCTGATAATTCCCTTCCCTCTCCCTCCCCCACTACCCACCTGTCTCTCAAAGATAAACATTCCTATATAAAATAAAATTGAATACGAACGCACGAACGCACAGGAGACGGTGCCAGAAAGGGTACGGCCATTGACTTTATAATAATCTTTGTGCTATCTGCCAGCACTCCGCTACCTGACTATATACAAGGTATCAACACGCAGCCGGTCAGCTGATGGGTGTAAACAAGGAGTCACGTGGCTGTAGTAAAGCACGCGGCAAGTCAGCTGGTGGGCGTAAACAAGGAGTCACGTGGTTGCAATAAAGCTGTAGCGCTCATTGAAACACCTTCACACTTTAGACTCTGCTGGCCCTTCTCGGGTATTTTGGCTGCGTCAGTAGTATTTGTGTCGTCCCTCGAGGGTGTCTGGTTTATGTTGCTTCTCCAGGCTCCGAGGAACAACTTGGCGCTCTCTCAATAGTTAAAGGAGCACCCTAGGAATGGTAGCAAGAACAGTAGCTGTACTAGGAGTATTAATAGTAGCAACATCTGGCTAAGCCGCTGTCACTGGACATAGTCAGGTTGGGTTCTCACGAGCTTAACGTTGTATATTTCTCCCAGCTGGTCAGTTTGATTTGTTCGATAGTGCATTGCTATTTGTTTGCCTGTCTGTTTGTCATGACTGTCAGTTGTCTGTGAACTTGCATGCTCGCCCATTACTGTCCTCGTCCGTCCGAGCCCGCCTTGCCCTCCCACCAACCCGAACCCCACCCGCCGAAAAGTCAACAGTCAACCCAAAATTCCTGGCCGCCCGTCCCCGTCAAACCCTCTCCTTCATCTACCCCCCCCCCCCTCCCCTCGGCAACGCACTCTTCCCGCCCGCCCGCCGCCGCGCCCTCGCCGAGCGGTGGGTGGCTCCAGGTTTATGGGCGTGTCTAGACGAGTTGCAGTTTTATTCTGGTCAACTAATGTATTTGTCTTAGCTTGGATGTGTTTGTTTGTATATGATTGTTTATCTCACGTGTGTATACTTAACATACTGAACTGTATTAATGTGTTTGGACTCGTTTAAGTGTGCTGGCAGTGTCGATTGCTATCTCTTGAGCCCTGCTTTACCAGCTGTTAGTTGTCTAATACACTGCCTTCCAACCCTTGTTTGCTGTTGTATCTTCTAAAACTATTTATTGTATTAAGTTTACTGGGGTAGGGGGGGGGGGGGGTTCCAGGCTGGTGCTGCATTTTCCCCACTGGGCCTCTCATGTGTCGTGCATGTTAAGTGTTCTGAAGCCCTTCACTAGGTTCCTATGGAGACCACCTTCCTGAGGTTCAAGAGTGGTATTATTGTATGTTCTTTCTCGCATATGCTGCTGCTGATAGCTGGTTTATGTGAGCCT